TTATATAATCTATAAGGTGTTATATCTTGGAAAGGAAATATTTTCAGCATATGGTTTTCACATACTTTTTGACAAGCTTATTCCAATTATATAGTTTTTTGTTTGACTTCTATATTTTTTTTGCTGACTGTAACAAGTTATGATCCCGGCCCAAAATGTTTTAGCACTCGTTTTCTTCTTCTTAGTTTTAACCTAGTTAAACAAGTTAAAAGCTAGCTAGACAAGTTAAAACCTAGTTAAAAAAATTAAAAGCAAAAAGTTGCTTCTAACACGCTTGTGCACACGAAAGTGCTAATCGTAACATAGTAACCCTCACGATAAGTCTTTTGTTGATACTGTCACTTGCTTCAAGGAAACTTATTTAATTTTGCTAGACAAGCAGCTGTAAAATTTTATGCTATATTTATCTATATAATAACTTTAACATGTAAATGATTACTGTTTTTAGGGAGATGGAATTTATTCAGTACTTATCCTTAACGTAAGATGGAGTTTGCTCAACTGAAACCAATACAATACGCCAACTTACGGAAAATCTTGTAGGCCCAAATGGAATTTAAAGTCATTTATGTAAACTAAAAAATGGCGTTATTGATTATTTTTTATTCCAGGCGGAGCAATAGGAAAAAAATTATACCGCTTTTATATAATAAATTTTTTAAAATAAATTTAAACAATTGTGTGACATTCTAGTTTTTAAAATATAGGTAAAAGGGAAAATTTTACTGAATCATTGAAAAGGTTCAATTATAGATGATATTGGTCCTCGGCAAGTGGGACAATGAGCTGTGTTGCTTTTTTGGACTTGTTGAATGCAGGGCTGACAAAACAAAAAATGTCTGCAAGGCATTACTAATGCATTTCGTTTATTGACGGTACAAACAACGCACTTCGGTGACTCTGTTGAAGTAGAAGTTTGCAAAGGAAGACTCTCACCAACCTCGTTCATTGAGTTTTCATCCAAAGCACTAAAAATACTTAAAAACTTCAAATACAATTTTCCATATTTCATGGAAAGTAACAAATTATCAAATAAAGTTAAACTAATTAGTTTGGTAAAAAAATTAATAAAGGTTAATAAATAAGAAGTGTTATAAAAAAACTTGGAAAATTATCTTAGACTACTTTGAAGTTTTGAAAGAGATACGATACTGTTGATAGGAATCTCTCAGCTGTCCAAACTCCGTCTCGAAGTTTTTTCTAAAAACAGCGCATTTTTTCAATTGCACCATAGTCGCGTTGGTCACGGCGGACTGGCTGATTGCAGGCAAGCTGTTGAAGCTCTTGAATTATATGGACTATTACATGCTGGTTAAGCAATTTCATAAACTGCCAAAATCCTCTATGTCGATCACCCATGTTTGATTTCAAACGTCTATTGAGACTCTCTGCATTGTTATTGATTTTGTGGTTCAAGCCATAAACACTGAATCCTTCTGGAGTCACTATTTGAGCCAATAACTCTCAAAATACCTTTTAAAAGCAAGTAGTTTGAGTTTGATTTCGCAACTAAATTGTGCAATCTCAATAACTCGAGATTCCCAAGCAACCAAGATCTTGTTTGCAGGAAGGAGACAAAGTGCTAAAACTTTTCGTGCCCACTTTTTTACTTGAATTTAGTGGCGGTATTCCCTCTGAAGACCAAGAATTGCTAATTGCTTGGTGATTGCATTTTCGAAATGAAACCTAAAGGTAAGGGTTGAAAGGAGATCATTAATTGATAACAAACTCTGAAAAACTTGGATAACTTAGAAACTGGAAACTATGTAATAACAAAGTAATAACTTATACCTGCAACCATTCACCAAGCTTTCACTCCAAGTTGTTTTTAAAGCATTCTGTAGTCCTCGTTCAAAATCTGACATAATGGTGACTGGAGAGAAATTTAAAACTTCTTTTATTTTGGAAAAAACAAGCTTTTATAGAGCCTCGGATTTCGATGTCATTAAAGCGCATACAGCTGGAACAGATATTCCCCAAAGGTGAGGGTTATCAGGATCAAAATTCATATGATCCTCATCTGGAATTGAATCTTCAAGTACTGCTGAATACTCAACAGAAAATATCAAGAGCTGATACCACTTACTTTCCTCCATGCGTGGTGTCATGCTGGAAGTACAATAAATGTAACTATAATTTACAACTGTAAATAAAAGTGTTCTATCTAACGTTTTTAATATATCACTTTTGTCGTCTACGGGCTGTCCATTAATAACGTTAAAAAAATAAGGAAGAAGGTGTCTAAATTTTTTTGAAAATTTTTGCTAAGGTTGAGGGGAGGAGGTCAAGTAAAGTTGACATCAACAATGTTGCTTTATTTTTTTAATTTCGTTACTCAAAAAAAGAAAAATTTGCATGCGTTTTTAGCGCAGCGTTTTTATTTAGGGGAGAAGGGTTATCAAAAATTGACGTAACTTTATAGGGGAAAGAAATGTCTCTGTAAAATTAACAAATTGTTGACATGGAGGAGGGGGTAATGTAAAAATAGCCAAAAGTTTGTTGATATAATTAATGGACAGCCCCCTAGATAAATATATGTTCTTCTAGAACATATATATTTTTTGAAAAAGTTAAATGCATACGTATAAATATCTAAATGTTCCATCAACAAAACACACTATGGCGGATTTCGCCTTGTTGATGACTAGCATATGCCCAAACAGCAATGCTACGTTATCCTGTTCTGCAACTGATCCCAAGAAAATGTCTCCATAGCGATGGCACTCTTTGCCGTTCAGAACTTCAGCAGCTTTATTAGGTGATTTTGGGTTTGAAGGCTCATTTAGCCTTCTCCTTTTCTGAAGACTTGGGATAATTTAACGAAAACTAACAGATTCAGAAACAACTGCAGGAAACTCACTCAAAGTGTTTTGAAAAATTAGGCGCAGGTCTCCAGATGTTGCTTCTGCTTTTTTCTTCATGGTACTTTTAGCAAGCAGCACTTCAAAGTGTATTTTTCTTGAACTGCAACTGTGAACAGTTGTAACCTGAAGTTTATCTTCATGAATAAAAGCTCTGCCTTTGCAGTTCATTCTAGTAAAAAAACGACACTTAAGATGCAGTTTGTCTTTATAAAGTTTATCTTTAGTGTATCCAAAATCACCAGACCAAAACACATTTGAATTTTTTCTTTCTCCTTCAGTTTCATTATAATTTTTTGATAAGTTCTCTAACGACATTTTAGAATATTGAGTTTCTTAAAAATTTCTTAAATTTTAAATTTTAATTCGAACGGAATTTTATTGCACGTGCAAATTAAACTGTTTATTGCGCGTGCAAATTAACTGTTCATTTAAACTGCTGTTCTCCATTATAGGTAATGCTAACTTTGTTAAGCTGATGCGATATTAGGGTGAAAAGTTACGAAATATTCATCGAACTCTTAAATAAGTTTCTTTTTGAAAAGTGACTTAGTATCAAAAACTTCTTAAGATTTTCTCCTAGTACTAGTTTTTTATAAAATAAAAGTGTGATCATAAAATCATATTTTTGATGTTAATCGTTAAAAAGAATTTTTGACAATTAAAAATTTTCGATCTTATTCCGTTGTATATTGTTTTCGACATAAACCAGAAAATCTTATTTTTAATGTTAATCGTTAAAATGAGTTTTCGATCTTATTCTGTTTTTATTGTTTTCGACATAAATCGGAAAATCACGTTTTCGAAGTTATTCATTAAAATGAGTTTTCGATCTTATTCTGATTTTATTGTTTTGGACATTAATCAGAAAATCTTATTTTCGATGTTAATCATAAAAATGAGTTTTCGATCTTATTCCTTTTTGATTGTTTTCGATATTGTTCCACATTTGTGAATTTCGATATAAAAACTTTTCGACATTAATTAAACATTAAAAAAAAGAAAAAAAAGTTTTTTTTTCTTTTTTTTAATGTTTAATAAATTTGCTATTCTCCTTATATAAAAAAACAATTACTTTGAACCTTGTCAAACAATGCGACGAGTTGTATCTAGAAAAAGTTTTTTCCTTTAAACATACCTTTGTTGAACTGTCAAAATGGCTAATAAATTTCCCGCAATTATTAAATTTGGTTATTGTGATTTTCGTAAAAGTCATCAAGTAATTAAAGACGAAGTTAAGTTCAAAACTCATGCTAAGTGTAATATTTGTAAAGAACCATTAACTGAAACTAAAGGTACAACTTCTAGCTACACAAGGTATGATAGTTTTTGCTGCTTGGTAAGCCATATTGCAATAATGCTTTTATCTTCTGGTGGTGCTATCCTATTTTGATAATTTTAAAAACTGTTTTTGTATGATACACTTTAAAGTTTTTCTTAAGTAATTGTTAATCATGGTAATTTTTTTTTTAAGTTTGATAATAATTATGGAAAAAAAATCAAAAACAAACAAACAAAAAAACAAAAACAGAAAAAGTTTAAAAAAAATTTTAGGCAGCACTCATGTTAATAAAGTTGTAAGGAAAAATTAACAAACGGGTTAAATTTATAATTTAGAAAGAACGTCAATGTCAATATTTTTACTTTAAGTAATAAATTCTTCTTTCCGTTTTTTAACAAAATGAAATAGTTTTCTTTTAAACGTTTTTTAAAAGAGAACTATTTCATTACGTAAAAAAGGTTTTCTCCTCTATAGATTTAAAGTCTTAAATAACTAAAAAACTAGCTTATTTTTAAAATTAGAAAAAAGGAGAAGTGCTTTAGTTTGAAAGAATTCGACAGAAATACTAAAGAATCTTTATTGTTTCGGTTCTTCATCAAAGATTAACAATATATTGTTCATTGAAAAAAAAATTACTTTGTTCTTCTACGTAAATCTACCTTTTTTGTTTTTGTTTTCATGTGTTTCTAATTTTGAGGTTTTTTAATATGCCGACCCTCTCATTTGTTAGGACCCATTTTCTTAGATTAGCAATTAAAAATAAAAAACAAAAAAAAAATGTTCAAATATATCGATGTTTTTAGAAAACAAAATTTTTTTTGTCTATTTAAATTATACCTTTCAACTTTTTAATATTTTTTATTTTAGACATTATAGTAATGCTCACCCTGAAAAACACGCAGAGTATGTGGCACAGAAACATATTAATTTCAATCGTAAACAAGTAATTATTGACACATTCTTCACAAAACAGAATAGTTCGTACGGATCGCAACATCCTGACCAAATTAAAATTACAGACTCCTTAGTTACAAACCTTATTGTTGGTTGCTCACTTCCATTATCTCTTGTTGAGAATTCAAATTTTCGGAAATTTATCTGCGATATGAATAACAAGTACGTACTACCATCACGAAGCCATCTAACATCTCAATTAATACCAGAGGCTGTTAAAGAAAAAAGAGAACTTATTTCAAAAAAAGTTCAGTCCATTGGGCATATAGCAATGACTGTTGATATATGGACTGATAGAAGGATGCATTCAAATCTTGCTTGTACGGGACACTACTTTTCTGATGCCAAGCTCCAAAATTTTCTTTTGGCTTTTCGTCCAGTCAAAGGAAGGCATAATGGTCAATTAATTGCAGATGAACTAAATAACATCATTGAGCAAAATCAAATCAGAACAAAGCTAGGATGTGTTGTAACTGATAACGCCTCAAATATGAAAAAAGCTTTTGATGTGCTCAGTGAATTTCAGGCTAATGAGAGTGAAGATAAATCTAGACATATTGTTATAGTTGATGACAAAGAAATGTGGAATGATCTGCATGAAGAAGATCAACTCATTGTGAACGAAGCTATCGAGCAACATGCAACAGAAAGATTGGCCTGCTATGTGCATTCTTTGCAGCTGTGTGTAAAAGATGGACTAACTCATCTGAAAACAGCTAACAGTTTGTTAGCCAAATGCTCAAAGCTGGCAAGTTTAACACATCAAAGTACGCTTTTCCGTGGAAATTTTTCAGTCAAAGTTTGGAAAAGGACGCTCTATACCAAAAACCAATGCTACAAGGTGGAACAGCATGTTTGTTCAGCTGTCCAGTATTATCAGGTTGGATCCTGTAAAACTTTCGGATTTGCTCAGAGGAGACCATAGTAATCTTATTTTGACACAACGTGAGATGGCAATCTTGCGTGAACTAGTAGAAATTCTTCAGCCTTTTGCAGAGGCTACAGATTTTTTACAGGGTGATAGCTATCCAACAATAGGATGCGTTGTGCCTTCAATTGTTGGCCTGCATAAGTGTCTTAACACACTCAGTTCAACTGTCAAGTATCACATTCCACTGGTTAACGGTTTGTTGAGCTCCTTGTGTGGCATATTTGGTGGATTCTTGCAGAATGTCAAAATTTTGCCAAAAGGTGACAAAATTAAGAAGAACCTAAATTTTTCTTCAATGCTTTACCTAATGGCCTCAGCCTTAGATCCCAGTTATTTGTTACTTTGGCTAGAGGAAGACCATCCTGGACCAGATGATGTCAAAAGATTTGTTCGTCAACATATTGCGAGTAAGTTAAAAAAGTTTTATTTTTGTTTATTTTTATTGAGCTATTAAGTTGTTCTCGAATGGATAAAAAATTAATGGTGGTTTGTTGATTATAACGAAATTATTATAAGTATAATTATATTCTAATAATTCTGTTACAACTTGTCAGTTTTAAATTTTCATTGTTTTGTTTTTATGCTTTACGTTGAAAGTATTGATTTTTCAGCTCTTATAAGTATAGTCGTTAGAGAATTGAAATGAGACAACAAAATATTGTTCCATTGTCACCAACCACTATTGCTACAGCTTTCATGGAAAAAATGGTTTCGATTGAATCAAGCACTTATAAAGAAGAGGCATGGGTGAAAGCTCAATCTGCTGAATATTACAATATTATGAATCCTCTGATAGAGAAGCTTTTCTGTATTCCAGCTTCTTCTGCACCAGTGGAACGCATATTCAGCCAGGGAGGTTTAATTATGCGACCGAATCGTGTTAGACTGGGTGATGAGATGTTATCGTCTCTTGCTTATTTGAAATGTAACAGTGATGTGTAAACCATAATTTCTGACAATGTTTAGTTTGTTTCTACTAGGATTAACTAACGTGTTATATAAGTTGTGAAATCAAGTTGTACAAAAACCCAGTTTTTTATTTATGTTGTTTCTGAAATGACCCGTTAACTTTATTTTTTGTAACTATAGTATGCGGCTACTGGTCTAGCATGTCTGCTATTTGTTTTTAGACATTTTTTATTAGTACTTTTTTTTTTTAACAATACAAAAAAAGTTAATTTCTTATTGTTGTTATTATTACTATAAGTTTTCTGTTTTCATTAAATATATCTTTTGTAGACTGCAGTTGTCATACACGCGTAACTACGTTTTATTGTAAGGTAATGGTTATGAATGCTAAATTATCACACCAACTAAGATTTAGTAGCATTCAAACATTTTTTTTGACACAAGCAAAAACCCAAGCAAGTAGATCCAGCATTCAATATTCTAAACTGGAAACAATGTATTAATACGTAATAGTATATTATAAATACATTTACACTAGCCTAAATAAAGAAGGGGCGTAAAGCTGGTCAATAAATAGTACCTGTTTACTCTTTACATTAGTGAGCATGGGTTTTATTGGACTTCTTTGAACCTAATTCTTGATCCTGGTCTTGTAAAATCTTTTAAAGTCTTGGTCTTGGTCTTGAGTTGATTTTTTAATGTCTTGGTCTTGGCCTTTGTCTTGAAGCATTCAGTCTTGGTCTTGGTCTTTTTTTTTTTTTTTTTTTTTTTTTTTAGTGTAATTTATTTCGCCGTTAAAAAATTTTTACATTGCATATACATTTTTATAAATTGATGGCTGGAGCAAGAAGAAGGCACATTTCGCCTTATCGCCGAGCCCCATTAAAAATCTACATAACCGTAACATACAAATATATATATAAAAGAAACAAATAGAAATGAAATAGAAAATAACTAATATAATAAAAAAAATAAAAAATAAGAATTAATTAAGAAGCGTTAAGATGCTTAACAGTTGCTAAAATGTTTAAGAAATAAGTTAATATAAAAAAAAAAAAAAAAAAAAAAAAAAAAAAAAAAAACTTCCTGAATATAAAAGAAATTGAAAAAATAAAATCTCATAATTAACACTAAATGAATATGTAACATCATCACTTATGACATCATCACTTGTGACATCATCACTTGGATTTCTTATTCTTTTTTTTTTTTTTTTTTTTTTTTCTTTTTTTCCTTTTTCTTTCTTTTCTTATTCATATTATCATATATCATTGATATAATTGAATCTGTTTGTTTTTTTATTTTTTTTTTATTGTGTTTACTTTAAAATAAACATTTAAAGTCGGATTTATTGAGATCCATGAACAATAATAATCGTTTTGATTCATCCTTAAATTGCTCTAATGTAGTCTGCTTTTTGTTAACAATATCTGGAAATTTCTTCCACAGATAAGGTCCGCGGTATTTAATTGAATAGGAAGTTAATTTTAATTTATGTTTTGGAACAACAAAATTGTTTTCTGAAAACTTTGTTGAGTACCTATGGTTAATTTTATTAAAATAAGATTGAAATATTTTACGAGACAAATCCTTTTTTGTTTTAAACATAAACAATAAAACTTGGTGTAAATTAAGTTTATATACATTTAAAGCACCGAGCACACTTAGAAGTGGTTCGCAAGGAACATTTCTGTCGGCGCCAAATACTATTCTACATGCATGTTTTTGTTTATTGTAGAGTTTCTTTAGTTTTGTATGACTAGTACTAGCCCACACAACATTACAATAAGACAAATAACTGTGAATAAAGGCGAAATATAATTTTTTCAGAGATGATATATTTAGAAAGGGTTTAGTCCTAAACATCATTGCAATATTTTTTGAGATTATTTTTTCAATGCTATTTATATGTGAACACCATTTTAAATTTTCATCCAATTTTACTCCTAAAAAGTTTATGTAAGATTCCCTTTTAATATAAGTTTTATTAATATTAAGATCTGGTAATTTAAGAGGAATATTTTCTGATTTATTTACTTTATGGAAAAGCATATATTTTGTTTTTTCCGCATTTAGTGAAAGTTTATTACTTACGAACCATGCACTAACATTACATAACTGTTCGTTAACTATTTTAAAAAGTGATTTAATATCTCTGTGAGAACAAAAAAGATTTGAATCATCAGCAAACAAAATTAGGTCTAAAAGTTTTGTTGATAGGTATAAGTCGTTTATGTACAATATAAATAAAAGTGGTCCTAAAATAGAACCCTGAGGAACCCCGCAAGTTATGGAGTGTGGAATTGTATTATTTTTATTATAGTATAAAAATTGCTTTCTGTTAGTCAGATAATCTTTGAACCAAAGTAAGTTTTTATTTTTTACACCGTAGTTTTCGAGTTTTTTTATTAGTATATAGTGATTTACGGTATCAAAAGCTTTTGACAGATCAATGAAAACTCCTAATGTAAAACAGTCATTATTTAAGGCATTAGATATTTGATTGGAAAGTTCAACTACTGCGTGTTCAGTGGAATTTTTTTTTTTAAAACCAAATTGTTTACAATACAACATGTCGTTCTCAGTTAGATGATTATAAAGTCTGTTATACATTATTCTCTCTAGTAGTTTTGAAAAACAAGGTAAGATTGATATAGGCCTGTAATTTAAAATATTTGACTTATCTCCAGATTTAAAAATTGGTGTTATACGGGCAATTTTTAATTTATTAGGAACAATACCTGACTTTAATGAGAGATTGAAAATGTGAAATAAAGAAGGTTCAATGACTTCAAATACTGATTTGACAACATCAACACTAATTTTATCAAAACCTTCACTTTTTTTACTTTTGAGACTGCTAAATGCAGTTCTCAACTCACTCAGTTTTAAATCAGTTTCATCCATAAGTTTATCATAAGTTTTTAAGTATGGATCAAATGGAATGGAATTAGTAGATATTTTAGCAGCCAAATTCGGGCCAATATTAACAAAGTAGTTGTTTAGTTCTTCAGCTATAATTGATTTTTCATAAACTAATTCTCCATTAATTAAAAGATTTTTTGGCAGAGTGCTTTTGTTATATTTATTTTTTCCAATTAAATCCTTAATTAAATTCCATATTTTTTTAGTGTTTCCGTTGGTTTTCTTTAATAATTGATCATAAAATAGTTTTTTTGAGTATTTTTTGGTTTTTTCAAATATATTTTTATAATTTTTGTAAGTTATTTCATTTTTATAAGTTTTTTTTTTAAGATATTTTATATATAATTTTTCTTTCTTTTTTGAAGATTTTAGTAAGCCTTTAGACATCCAGGGAGCTTGAAGTGACTTGGTATTTATGACTTTTTTAATTTCTGGAAACGCTATTTCATATTGTTTGCAAAATTGATTAAGAAACAAGTCATATGCATTGTTAGCCTCATTTGATTGCAGTACTAGATTCCAATCAACACAATTTTTTAAACAATTTTTAAATTGTTTTAAGGAGTTTTCATTGATCTGTCGCCGAATTATTATGGATTTTGTGGAAATATTGTTAATTAAAATGTTATTTGTAGCTAAGAATGTAGGAAAATGATCCGATAAATCGGTCTGGATTATACCTGTGTAAAGAGGGTTATTATGAAAGTTGTTAGTTATGATGTTATCAAGTAGAGTAGAAGACCTATTTGTTATTCTTGTTGATTTGTTTATTGTTGGGATAAAGTTATATTGTAGAAGAGTATTTATAAAATTCTTAGTATTATTATTTGAAGCATAGTTGATCAGGTTAATGTTAAAATCCCCCACCAAATAAATATGTTTTCTCGAATTTGTAACTTTGTTAAGAAATGTTTTAAGATGAGTTTTAAGGTCTCGTTCTTGAGCCTAAATGTCTTGGTCTTATTCTTGGTCTTGGCCTTTACTGTCTTGACTACATCTCTGCTTAAATCAATTTTAGTTAACTTAAAGGTCATTCACCTTTCAGAATAGTCAATAAAGCATCTCCGAGAATTTTAAATAATATTTTGTTTTGTAGTAATAACAATTGGTGTAATAACCTGTTGTTACATTAATGTTATGTTTAGCAATCTACACCCATTTTAGACGTTTAGACAATTGCTGTTGTGTTCAAATATTCTTTTTAGTTAAACATATATTAATGTGTATTAATAAAATCAATTTAAAATACATTTTTGTAATTGTTTTTCACAATATGATTAGGTGTATTCTATTTAAATGCACCCAAAAACGTTAATACTACTCTTTTTTTTATTGAAGACGATGTAAGATGTTATACAGCTAAGATGCTGTAAGATGCTTTAGGTCTATAATTGTTTGACGAAAGGTCTATAATTATTTGGTCTATAATTATTTGACGAAATTATAGGTCTATAATTATTTATTTTATAATTATAATTATAGGTCTATAATTATTTATTTTATAATTATAATTATAGGTCTATAATTATTTGACGAAAAAAAACTTTTTCTACATTTATTCATATTCCATAGGTGAAAGAAAAACACAAGTTTGCTAACTTAATTTAAGATATGTCCTCTAGGCTTCTACAAAACAAAACAAAACAAAAAACTTTTTTTGTTAACTTAAACTTAACTGAGCATTTCGCGAGGAAAAAAATACGTCACTTTAATTAATAAGTAGACAAATTAGCTATCATATAATTTATCAAAGTTTTAATATTTTCAATTTTTTAATATTTCCTACATTACTTAATCTAGCATTGTGATTTTGGAGATACGGTTGTTTTTGCGATACGTAAACCTGTAGCATTTGTAATGAAAATCCAATGCCAAATTTGAATTCGGCGTATTAAAATTTTGTAAAAAAATGTTTGATTTTTTTGAATCAGTGTTATAACTTAAAATTTGTACTTAAAAGGTTGCCACTTGAAATTTTATCAAAGTTTTTCCTACGGGCATTTGTTTTTCAAAGTTACGTTCTAAATGTCTTTTAAACATTTTTTAAACGTCTTTTAAACGTTCTTTACGTAAGAATGTTTAGAAGAAGTTTAAAAGACATTTAAAATAGATTTAGGACGTAACTTTTAAAAACAAACGCCCGCTGGGTTATGAAACAAGTTTTTTTTTTTACTAATGACTTAAAAGTTGCAACTATAAATTTAATAATACTTATAGACGAGAGCTTTCATAACGCCCAAAGCATAGCAGCACTTAGGTGTCCCTATAAACAAGCATATTTTTAAAATAAAAGCATGTACAATTACACAAGTTAATCACTGTTTTTTTTTTTATTTCTAGTACTATTAATTTGCATCCACATTTTCAAGAACCGAATATGGGTTAATAACACTTATGAATAACAGGTTTTATGAAATTAATATTAAAAACACTCTTTTCTTGCATTTTTACTAGCAAAAATCATTATTAATTTTTTTCTAAATTGCGAATGAGTTTTATCAGAGATCTCAGATAGACGTCCTTCTTCTATAGCAGCCCTGCAATCTTTTTTTAAAATCAATTTTAGTTTACTTTAAGGTTGTTCACCTTTTCAGAGTAGTCAAATAATCATCTCTGAGAATTTTGAATATTTTTTTTTGTTTGTTTGTTATTTAGGTGCCCCAAGAAGACCTAACAGTCTTGTTACAGAGCACCACGGAAGTGCGTTTAACCAGAAAGTTCACGCCTCCTTCCTTACCGTGATGCGAAAATATGTCCAAAGCTCATTTTGAACCTGGATCTCCTGCTTATTAAGCTAGCGCTCTAATCACTGCGCCACGAACGCACAATAAGTTATGATAAAACCTAGTGTCTTCTTTAATATCGTCAGTATAAAAATAAGTCAAATTTTTTGGTTGGTCCCCACATACCAAAGTAGAGAGATTTTATTAAAAATTATAACTCTTTGGTAATATAAATAAAAGTTACTTGTTGTTCATATCAGTGAGTAAATTTATTTTATATCACATCAATAAAAACAATTTTTTTTACTTTTTTTGTAAATAAATGGTGCCGGGGCACCTATGCTCTTTTCGCACGTCCCTTAGAATTAACAATAGTAATAAATAATATGCATTGCAGAAACAAAACGTTTTAAACAAATGTCAGCTTGAGTGACACAAAGCGCCGTCATAAAGTATTACAAATTTATGAATAAAAGTTTGTTTTAATTACGAAGTATATATGCAATAACCAAAGCAACAAGCGTATACAAACGTTTGTCGAGTTTTATCCATTTCGCATCAGAATAGTTGCAATTATCAGTCATGCAGCACATGTTAACCTAAAATATTTCCATGTTTTGAATATTTTCGTTTTATATTAAATTATTTAAAAAGTACTTTATTAAACTACTCAAAATATTTTTAAAAATGAACTTTTTTTTAAAAAACTTTTTTAAAAGTATTAAAGCTTTTTCATAAAAAAAAGTTAAAATCAAATCTGCTTACCTCACATTTAAACCTCAAGAAGCACAATTTACGTGTACCGATCTGTGTACCGCATTCATTCCAGGTTTTACACCCAGCAGATGTAACATTTTGTCCGTTTAAGTTTCTAAAACAAAATAAAACTTCTTCTCATAATCAATTATATTTTAAAAGCAATTTATGAGATTAAATTTCAATAATGAAAACAAAGAGGTAGAAAAATAATTAAAAAAAAAACAAACACATACACAAACTTCATCATGTAACAGGTGTCTTGTTCCCCACCGCAATAATCTATTTTTTCTGATCCACAATTTGTGGACTCATCGCAAAGATAACATTGCGTTAAACAGTTGATATGTTCTAAAGTAATATAAAAAATATTAAAACATTTTTCTTTTTTAGTTTAATAAAAAACCAGTTTACCTGTTAAGAAACTGGTTTGCTCTAAAGTGAGACATGTATTATATGAGTTTTTTTATTTTTTTATTTTTATTTTGTAAGTTTGCCATTAATACAAAATTCATAGTTTTAGTATTTATATAATATACAAAATACTAGGGCAAGAAGAAGATATTGTAACTGTCTTATTGCTAAGACTAACAGTTCGTAAATATATATCATTGAAAATCATACATTTCTATTTGAAATGGTTTTGAGTTACAAGCATTTTAATGCTACTATCAATTTCCATATTTCATACTTGAGGGCCACTGAAAACTTAGTAAATTTAAAGTAAGTTTTAGCTAAGGATATAATTATTATTTAAATATTCTGTTGGGTATTTGTACTTTAGTTTTTTAATAAAGTTTTAAATGGAACTTTAAATGGAACAAAAAATAGAAGCTTTTCTAGGTTAAAAACTTACATTAATCTAACAAATAAATAACTAACTATTGGCCCTATACCTCTAGTAAAAGTTTTTTTCATTAATTTACATCATAATAAAATAAAATTTTTACAATTAGATTCCGAGTAAAAGTAACTCTCTTGGACCGTTTTCAAAACTAGTTTATTATTTAAAATTTAGAAAGTTTTAAACTAACAATTATGGTTTTTTTTCAAGTCAATACACCGAAAACTCTTTTACTCTTAAAAAGATGCCATCAAGAAAATATTTTTTACATACTCTGTTTGAGGTAATCCTACTCTAAATTGATCTATTTAAATTTAAAAAACTCTAATTCTTTCTTTGTTAATTCAATGATAAAAGGCGTCTGATTTAATAAAAAATACTCTACAAAATGATAATAGTTTAGGTCCGTATAGTGTCTCGACACATTTTTTGAAACTTTATTAAAATAACTGAGACGACCAAAAAAGCTTTAAAAAAAACCATTTCATAAGGTGCTTTTCTTGACTTAAATAAAAAGTTAATTTTTGTGGATCACTCCATTCTTCTAAGTATTTTGGAACTTTATTGTATTTGAGGTGTTGCTCTCCAATGGTTTTCTTAGCAGATTTCAATATATTTTCAGTAGATTTTAATTTGTCTCAATTACTGCCAATAAAATAATTAATAGGTTCTAGATTAATATTAGATTAATCAAGACTCTGTATTAAAGCCATTTCTTTTCCTTATTTTTATCAATGATCCTTGTATGACTATAGGGCCTTTCCGAGGAGGGGGGGCGTAGAGGGGTGTTTAGCCCCCCTACGATTTTTTTTAATCGGCAAATTGGATACTAGAGTCGGCAAAATCGGATTTATAGTTGGCAGTCGGCAAATGTCGGAAAACAAAGGCCTTTTTTTTTTTTTTTTCAAATAAGTTAGTCGGTTAAAAAAATTTTAACTTCAGTCAGCAAAAAAAAAACATGACAACCCCCCCCCCCCCCTCCTTTAAAATCTCTACGGGACAGCCCAAAAATCATTTAAGAAAATTAACAGATATATTAACTACAATTTATCCAATCTATTTCAAGGGCTTCAACAAATTAACTCTTACAATAAGAAAAGTTGATCATTTTTAAATCAATTCTATTTTAAATCTTTTTTATTTTCAATTTTTATCTTCAATTTTTTAATCTCAATGTTTAAACACCTAAACTTCAGACTTAGCGGTTTCTTTAAAACATTTTCATTTTAAAGGCTTAGCAGTAAAACTGTGTATATTAAATGGGATGTTAGCATTTTATTAATTATGTAACTCTACTCAATATATACTTTGCAACTCACATTTTTTTAAATTATCTAACCTGGAAAACTAGGTTTTATAAATAATTTACTTTCAACTATATTTTTTTAATTCAGGCATCTTTTTCATACAAAATACTCAAATTATGTGATTTTTTTCATCATTGTTTATTCGCCTGGAATCATAAACAAGTAAACAAGCACATTTTTTCAATTAAAAAAAATTCTTGTTATTGTCTTCTATTTTTCAGAAACTTTATATTATATCACAACTCATTGTTCGGTAAAATACGGTCATAATTCACCAATGCATTAAATCATAGAATCACCTAATACTTAAATTACTATTTTTATTGTCATGCTAAACAATTATCATTATTATTTGCATTGTTATTGTTGTTATTTCTGTTATTATTATTACTACTATTATTATTAGCATTGTCATTACTATATCTTATATTATTATTGTTATTATTATTAAAACTTTTCTTGTTAATTTTGCTTTCGTGTTATTATAAATTGGTTGCTGTTATTATCCAATTTGTGTTTACTTCAGTTCTCGTACTATTTGTAAATACCCACGAAATGTTTTAACTTTTATTTCAGAATATATATTGTTATTGTTATTGATCTGTTGTTCATTTTGATAATACGTAATTTTTAATCCTTTTTGTTTGAACAAAATTTAAGTAAAAGTGACCAATTAGAAATAGTGACAAAAAATACACTAACTTATTGTATTACTAACAAAAGAAAAAAAAATTGAAAAATGGTTGCTTAAAGTATTTTTTATGGGTTTCTAATGCAATTTTAAAAAAAATTCTTTTTAAATATATACATTATTGAACAAAACATTTAAAACCAACATCAAACAATGCTTAAAAGTGTTCCTAATTTTACATGTCTTAAAAACGAAACGAACTATACTACCACAGCTAACAGTTCAGGAATCTGGAGTCATAGCATACTATGACATGAGCAATCAGCTGACAGGTGACAGCACACAGGCAGAATTTCGTTGACAAGTGCCATTTTGAAGCGGACAAACAAGTGCAACTTTTTTGGTTTGTTTCATTTTCTTAAGTCTGGTCCGTGTCAACATCACGGAAGTTTTTTAATAGTTAAAGGAAGTATCCAGAAGTTTTCAGAAGCATGCAGAAGCTTCCAGAAGTTTCCAGAAGAAGCATTTGGAAGCATCCAGAAGCATCCAGAAGCATCCAGAAACATTCAGAAGCATCCAGACGCATCTAAAAGCTTCCAGAAGCATCGAAAAGAAGCATCTAGAATCTTTCTGAACAGGTTCAAACAGGTTCATTTTACTATATAAGAGACATGTAAACCGGCATGTAATTCAGTCAGTATATGGAAGTCAATCAGTCAGTATTATCAAGACAGTTTATCGAAGTGAGTTTTATCAAAGTGTTTTGTAGAAGAACATCAATACAAGAAGTGAAATGCAACAAATGTTTCATTACATCAATACAGTCCACATCCAACCAAGACGTTGTGTTCCACAGAGCATTATTGTATCATCACAAGGTAAATGTAACACGGTAAGCCTTGAGAAGCGTGATTATTTATTTTTATTATTTTTATGACTTCAAGTGCAAAAATGGCTTTCGACAGTCTTGGATTGGAACTAAGAAAGAAAATTATTGGTGATTACGTAAGTGAAATGTCACAAAAAAGTAAATAAATATCGCGTGAAAAAATGGACCGTATTAAGACTATGTTCCAAATATTTTTCTACGGGGAAGTTGGCAGCAGATAACAAAGGTGGAAGACCGCGTTCCACCACTTCTAGAGAGGATTCTGTGATCGTCAGATTAACGTGCCGTTGAAGCCGGATTGTTTTCTCGACGCCCTGCAAAGAAACCGCTGATTTCACAAAAGAACCAGAAGAAAAGACTCCTGTTTGCTACATCTCATATGACTGAAATGTGCAGAAATGGCGAACTGTCCTATTCAGTGATGAATCAAAGTTCAACATCATTGGGAGCAATGGCATTTGCCGTGTACGTCGACCGGCCGGAAAACGCCTCGATTTACGTTACTAGAATAATGGACCGTTTCATGTATAAAAATATCCTAAAAGATGTTATGTTACCTCATGCTGAATGGAATATGCCAATAAAATGGGTTTTTCAGCAAGACAATTATCCGAAACACACTGCAAAATAGTCAAGCAGTGGTTTCAAGACAACCACTTATCGGTGATGGGTTAGCCGCCTCGATCTCCGGTTCTCAACTTTATCGAAAACTTGTGGGAGATCGTCAACCGCAGAATTAATCGTGAATGTGTTCGTAAAAAGGATCAACTGTTTGAACAAATCCAAAAGACCTGGGCAGCGATTCCATAAAGTTTCATTGATCACCTGATCGAATCTATGCCTCGAAAATGCAAGGCTGTGATCGACAACAAAGGATTCGCCACGAAATATTGATAGCGAAATACAGTTTGGTCAACATTTTGTGGAGTTGCCCTTGTTTTGTCCAGAAGAAAATCAACTTTTTTTAATATTTTTGATTAATTTATTAATTTTCGTGTACAAATAATAAACTTTGTGATGAATAAAACTTGAAGAACATTGACTCTAAACAGTTACATAGTTATTTCTCTAAATTGAAAAAATGCAGTACTTTTATATAAAGAAACTAAATTAGCATTATTTGGTTGCACTTGTTTTGTCCGATAATGTATATATATATTTTTTTCAAAAAAAAAAAAAAAAAAAAAAATACAAAAGTTTGTAAGCCCTTAAAGACATAAGGGCTTAAGTCTTAAAGACATAAGGGCTTAAGTCTTAAAGACATAAGCCCTTAAAGACATAAGGCCCTTAAAGACATAAGCCCCCTTGGGTATTTAAAGCCAGCTACAAAATTTACTGATTATCTTTGCGAGTTATCTATTCCTTAAAACGAAGCAGAAGTTTGTGAACTTGTTGGACTATACATTTAGATTTATTAAGTAAAATAATTAGTATAAATGATTAAGGTCTTTATTGCGACGATAGTTTAATAGTAATGCGTAAAAAATCTGGTCCACAGCTCGATAAGATTCGAAAAGATATTATAAAACTTTTTTTTAAATATTGGCTTTCAAATAGAAACAAACATAAATTTAAAAATTGTTCATTTTCTTGATGTCACATTTAACCTCCCTGAAAAATTCATATAAGCCTTTCAAAAAACCAAACGATGAATTATTGTATATTAATCATCCACCATAAATTCTCAATCAAATCCCACCATAAATTCTAAAACAAATCATCCACCATAAATTCTAAATCAAATCCCGATTTCAATTAATAACAGGTTATACCAAAACTCCTCTAATGAAAATGTATTTAATTCCTCCAAACGAAAAAAAAAAGAATACAAAAAATCGGAATAGAACTTGAAATGTAATTTGGTTCAACCCACAATAGCAAAAATGTTTCCACTAACATAGAAAAAGTGTTTTTAAAATTGGTTGATAAGCATCTCCCTCCCTTTAATAAATTACGTAAAACTTTTAGTCAAAATACAATTAAAGTTAGCTACAGTTGCACAAAAAATATGGAAAGAATTATAAAAGGTCGTAATAATGCTTTGTTAAATAAATAAGAAATCCTAAATGAAAAAACTGTTATTGTGAACAAAAAACAATTGTCCAATGAATGGAAGTTGTTTATCGAAAAATGTGGCATATAAATGTGTTGTTTCCTTTAAGAATGTACCTGATAAACAATATATTGGCATAACAAAGGGTGAATGAAAAAAAATGTTTTGCCAATCATAAGCAATCCTTTAAAAATAAAAAGGATTCAAAAGACACCATGCTGTCAAAATATATATGGGAACTAAAAGATAAAAATATTGATGATTTTATACTGAATTGGTCCATCCTTAAAACAGCGCCTGCATACAACAGTATTTCAAAAAAATGCATACTATGTCTACAAGAAAAATTTGAAATAATTACACATGCAAACCAAGAATTTTTATTAAACAAAAAATCGGAACTGATTTCTAAATCGACACGAAAACAAGTTTCTCCTAAAAAACTATAAAAATAAGTGAGGTAAAATAATAGTTACATTGAATCCCCCTTTTAAAAATATATTTTTTAAAAAGCATAAGTAATCATTTCTGACGAATTCTTTTTATAACAGTCAGCGAATTCCACAAATGTATGAAAATTTACAGTAGTTAAAATTGAAGTTTTATTAATTTGATCATTCATTTCTGATGAGTCTTTATTGCTGAAAAATAGTGTAAAATGAAAAAAAATTTTGTTAAGTGATTTTCTACTAATATATAATTGCTCTGTTAAGAACATAACAGATATATTAACTACAATTTATCCAATCTATTTCAAGGGCTTCAACAAATTAACTCTTACAATAAGAAAAGTTGATCATTTTTAAATCAATTCTATTTTAAATCTTTTTTATTTTCAATTTTTATCTTCAATTTTTTAATCTCAATGTTTAAGCACCTAAACTTCAGACTTAGCGGTTTCTTTAAAACATTTTCATTTTAAAGGCTTAGCAGTAAAACTGTGTATATTAAATGGGATGTTAGCATTTTATTAATTATAAAAGTATAAAAATAAAAGATAAAAATATTGATGATTTTATACTGAATTGGCCCATCCTTAAAACAGCGCCTGCATACAACATAAATTAATAAAATGCTAAAATTTCTAAATCGACACGAAAACAAGTTTCTCCTAAAAAACTATAAAAATAAGTGAGGTAAAATAATAGTTACATTGAATCCCCCTTTTAAAAATATATTTTTTAAAAAGCATAAGTAATAATTTCTGACGAATTCTTTTTATAACAGTCAGCGAATTCCACAAATGTATGAAAATTTACAGTAGTTAAAATTGAAGTTTTATTAATTTGATCATTCATTTCTGATGAGTCTTTATTGCTGAAAAATAGTGTAAAATGAAAAAAAATTTTGTTAAGTGATTTTCTACTAATATATAATTGCTCTGTTAAGAACATTGAGCACTCTATTTTGTAGAATACATTTTAAAGTTGTTTATTATTATATTTTTGTTGATATTATTATTATTTTTTCATTATTGTTTTTAGGTGCCCCAACAAGACCTAACAGTCTTGTCACAGAGCACCGCGGAAGTGCATTTAACCAGGAAACTCACACCTCCTTCCTACCGTGACGCGAAAATATGTCCAGACCTCATTTCGAACCTCGATCTCCTGTTTATAAAGCAGGCGCTCTAACCACTGCGCCACAGCCGCTATATATATATTATATATATATATATATATATATATATATATATATATATATATATATATATATATATATATATATATATATATATATATATATATATATATATATATATATATATATATATATATATATATATATATATATATATATATATATATATATATTATATATATATATATATATATATATATATATATATATATATATATATATATATATATATATATATATATATATATATATATATATATATATATATATATATACACACATATATATATATATATATGCATATATGCATATATATATATATATATATATATATATATATATACACACATATATATATATATATGCATATATGCATATATATATATATATATATATATATATATATATATATATATATATATATATACATATATATATATATATATATATATATATATATATATATATATATATATATATATATATATATATATATATATATATATATATATATATATATATGCATATATATATATATATATATATATATATATATATGTGTATATGATTAAAACGTTTGATTAAAAAAAAAAACGTCTTCAAACTTAATTTTGGCAACCCGTTTGTATAAAAGTAAGACATGCTTTTTTATTTTGTAAAATCTCTTTTGTTTATAAAAACAAGGTATCACCAAAACAATTGCCAGTATTTGTAACATAAAAAGAACTTGTGGTGACCCAAAATAATAAGAAGTTGTGGTAAATTTAACCCAAAATAATTAGAAGTTGTGTCGACTTAAAATTAAAAGAAGTTGTGGTAAATGTTTTGAGACTTTGCTATTAATGATACTTATGGAGAGGATTTTTTTTTTAAATTAAAAAAATGTATTTGAGCAAACGTAAATTAAAAGCGACAATTTCTTTAAACCTTTAAACTTAAATTTTTGAACTTTGAAATTTTATAATAAGCAACAAAGTTAATTACATTAAATTACAATTTTTAATTACAATTAAATTACTTAAAAATATTTCGTTGTAAGCATTGAAATGTTATTTGTTAATAACAATAATGATATCATATTAAAATAATAATAATTTAAACAAAAAACTTGTATTTAATTTTATTTAATAAATTTTTAGATTTACACCTAATAATATTATTATAATATTTTATTGCATACATTGTAATATGACATTATTATTTGATTGTGTTTATTGTAATATAACAAATAAAATAAGAAAGTTAATTTTGATAAAATTATATTATACCGATTGAAGCAAGAGATGTCAACAAAAGAATTAAAAAAATCATTTTTTTACCACGCTTTCTAAAAAATACTTTAATCAAAATTTGACATTCTTACGATGTTTTTATTTTACCATGACAAAAAAATAAATTATTTAACATCTATGATAAAAAACATAAATTGTTTGATAAAATATTAATATATATTTCAAGAGAATAACATATATTTAAAAAAATTAGTTTAAATTTAATGTTATTATTATTGTATCAAATAAGTAAATAAGTATGGTTGCAATAATAAATCGAATAAAATTATAATTAAAAAATAATAATCATTTTGTGTAAAACAGGAGTAAATTATTTGCATAATTTTTTTTTTGTGTCATAAATTTAATTTGCGTCATAAAGCAAGGTAGTCAAATATATTTGAAACCAGTTATAAAAAAGATCGTTGTTGTAAAATATGAATGTTATTCTGATAATAACTCTCCACTCTTTACTTAATAAATTAATAAAAAACTATTGAGAAACTTTGAAATTGAACAATCACCAAATGTATTCATTTATTTAACCGTGAAGTTGTTTGTGTTTATGAAATTATTACACATTTATTTATAGTTTTACAAAATCAGGTTCGATGTCACACATATAGTTAAAAACTAGTCATTTGATTGAAATCTTTATAAAATAAACTAATAAAACAAAAAATTAAGTAAACAGCAAAAGTGATAATAAACTAAAAACAAAATAAATAAAAAATAATTAAAAAGGGAACTAGTGAATGATAGCCTTATCCACTCTCTCTCTTTTTTAAAAATTTTCTTTCTCTTTTTTTTTTTTTTTAATTTTTTTTTTTTTTTTTAATTAAGAACTCCAACTAGAGACACGGCTGCTAACCACGGCGGGACGGCTTATACTGTAAAAATATGTAGTTAAAGGTGAGTTTCCGCTCATCCATTTTTCTACGGGAAGTGGGAAAGAAAGGAAACAGTAATCACATACGCATGCGTAGTATAAGTTTCAATTTGATCGAAGGAAAACTACGCATGCTCGCGTGATTATTTTTTCCTTCTCTTTTCTGTTCCCGTAGAAAAACGTATAGGTGGAGAATTCTCACCTTAAGAGAATTGTTCGAACACTATAAATATGACCTAGTCAAGACAAGTCTGGCTCAAATAAGAGTATTATTGAGATATTAAAAAGATTTACAGAAAATTAATGCTTTTAACTTTTTTATTTTTTTTTTCTAATTAAAAAATAATTATGCTTAACACAACATCAATTAACACAGACAAATATACAGGTGTCTGCATCACAGCAGGACATGCATATTCTACTATGATGCAGATAGCTGCATACTTGTCTATTTTAAGTGTAACCTGATGTTGTGTTAAGTATGATGTTTACATGTTAGGAAATTTTTTATTTGTCTAATTCATGCGTGATTTTTATTTTCTAACATGAGAACATCACGTTGCTAGGAAAGAAATATCACGTTGCTAGGAAAGAACTATCGTCTAATTTTGTAAACAGTATTTATCATGTTGCACCAATAGACATAAAAATTTATCTAATTAGACATTAGATATAAAAATTTAAGTTAGTTATAAAAGATTAAGTTAGTTATTATTAAATTTTATGCTAAAAAAGTTTCTTTATGCTAAACTACATCACATTATTTTAGCAAAAAAAAAATTTCTTCAAAAATAGGTCAACCAGATACTCAAATAAAGTGAAATTATATGAAAGTTCCAAAACGCATAGAATACTTTTAGTGGTTAGGAGCAGATTTTTCTTTAACTACATTTGTTTTTAGGGCCACTATATTATTATAGAGTATTTAAAGATATTTGAAGTTAACAATTGTATTTAAATATTTATACACTCTAATGTATAAATATTTAAATGCAATTGTTAACTTTAATTATCTGGCTAATTTTGAAGTTTAATTTTTAATTATTTGGGATTTTTTTGAGGTTTTAGATAATGCTCCATCCAAGCACAAATTAAAGACAAAGAACACGGTCGTTTAGATATTAGTAAAAAGCGCTTTAAGACGCATGCTTAAGAAAATACGAAAAACCTTTGAATTTTTAAAATGGCTACGGTTCTTAACTACAGAGAATATTTTATATGGCAACAGATTATTTGTTAATTAATTTCTGAAAAGTCAATGATGTAGTCTTATTTTTAACGTAAATCAATATAATAATACAAAAATTTCACAAAAATATAAATAAATACATGTAACAAAAATCTTTGCGCGCTTAAACTTTATTTTTATTTAATACCTTTTAGTTTAAAGCATAGATTTGTTTATTTATTTGAAATCAATTTTCTAAAAATCTGACTGTGCGATTTTAATAATTTTTTTTTAACTTCAGATAAATATGTTCTATATATATGACATTTTTCTGGTTGTTGCTTCAACTTTTTTTCCATATAAAAATTTGTTTTTACTGTTATGACTATTTCCTTATATATAAAACTGCAATTTCATTAATTATTTTGTTAATTACTATTTTTATGATTACATATATATATATATATATATATATATATATATATATATATATATATATATATATATATATATATATATATATATATATATATATGTATATATATATATATAT